TCACCAAATGTTCAAATTTCAAATACTACTTTTAATTTGTATAACTTATATTCTTGAAAATAATAACACTTTGACTATGATATTTTATTTTCGACTTATATCTATTAAGTTGTGAATCTTATATTTCTTAGAAAAGTAACACTTTGTTAATGAGATTTCATCTTCGACAATAAAGTACATTTTGATTTGATTTGATCGCACCTTTTCCCCCGCGGCTCAGTTGGAATATTTAAAAATCATTTCTCATTGCACATCTACAACATAAAACGAACCTACAAACAAAATTTCAGCCTTCGAAAATATAGCGGTACGGGGAAACAGTGATGAAAAGATAATTTTCATATGTAAACGCGTCCCATTTATCCCCAGGGAAAGTATCAGTTGGAATAATTGAAAATCTTTTCTTATTGCACATTTACAACAATTCAATACAGATTCGAAACAAATAAATTTGGATGAGGATCACAATCATTTGAAAATCAACTCTGAATGACATTGTATGACATGATGTTAAATTCAGCATGAACATTTATTTCGAAAAGTGTCATAAAATGTGCTGGTCCGTATTTAAAAAAATGTTGTAGAGGATGGCCCACAAAGTACGAAACGTTGGATTTTAAATATAATTTCGTAAAATTGAGGAGAATTCACTATCGAATCAAAAATACTTATAATTGAAGTAACGTGGAAAAAAAGAAAAATCAAAGTGACGGAATTTACTTTTCTTATGATATCTCAATAACCGACCCTGATATTTTCGATTCGTTTGAACCACTCGACAGTGCTTTTATGAATGCAACATTTTTCTCCGTTTGACCGACCTTCTGACTCTTATGGTTTAAAAGTTACCCATGCAATCCCATTAAAAAAACGGCCACTCTGTATAATAAATTGAGAACAATCTACTTACAGTCTGATGTGATACTTAAATAAACTACGGTGGAGATTTTGCTTATGCATTTTATTGTACAAAATAATCTCAACGAAAATAACTAGGTATCATCATGGAAAAATTAGCTTTCGAACTGATATTCGCCACCTGAACTTGACATACAAACACCATTCAGTCCATCCGGTTGTATAAATAACTCCCTGATCCATTGAAATTGCTCTCATCTGTGGAATTTAAGAAGTAGTGAAACAGACTCAATATTCTAAAAATCTTGTTTTTCTACAAAATTGTTTCGTGACATGATCATTCCAGTATGGAAAAATGTTTTTAGGTGGTTACCCTTTTTCCTTCGTTTTCCCACTAGGAATTAGCATAAGTTGATATTTTAGGGTCGATGTGTTATACTTTTTGAACATCGTTGAAAGAAAGGACAGGGTCTGATTGGTTCAAGATCAGAACTCAACTGCTGCACTTTTTTGACAGCTTGTCGGGTACTGTCCCCGTAGCTCCGGTACATACGGAAAGGCGCGCCAGCATTATTAACCAATAACCACTTCCCACACCGTGAGGTAAGTTATCATTAGGTCGGAGAATCATATGCTCTGCCGGCCAAGATGTCTGCCTTCGTGTGACAAACCGGCATGTTTTAAAGATCTTTCACAACTGGAATTTTATTACTAGAAATACCAAAAATGAAAAGTCGGCATTGAAGCTAAAAGTTAGATCTGTCTTAATAGTGAGCCCCAGTTGAAACCCTTTGGAACTCCAAATGCGATCAAACTTTGGTCAGAAAGCAAGACTTTCATTTCTGCTATCCGTAAATTATGTAAAAAAATGCATTCTGTAGTGAACCAAAAATTGAACGTCCTCAATTCAGATATTTGATATTCATTTTTTTTTCATGATTTATTGGGTATAGTAATTTCACGCAATCTAAAAAAGGTAAAAATTATCAAAAAAAAATCCCAATTATAATAATGTTTCTGAAAATTGCTGTAAAACAGGAACCTGTCAAATCCTCCATTTTGAATAATAAATTCCAGTACACTTTTCCATTTTTCTGCTCTCTCTTTTGCTGTTGACAGTCCGAATGATAACTTTTTTCCATATGCTGACGAAATATGAAATCGCACACATTTAACATCGCCTCCCTGGGGTTCCGACTGCGGAATCGAATCGGTCCGATCAATTTCAAACTCAATAAAACTTCCGATATGGCCTCTGCGAATTTAAAATTTATAATAACGTGATTTCGCAGACGTCGCATGTCATGAACTTGCGGTATACGGCTAGTAATAACGATATAGACCAGTGAAAGACTGTCGATTCTGATTTGTTGTTAGACTAATCAGAGTATTCAGCCTCTCAGCAATATGTGATCTATCAGGTATTGCTAACCAGTGAAAGGTCTCAGAGATCTTGCATTCGGATCTAGGTATTCATTCAACGGATGTGTTACCTTGTTGGGGAGAGTTCTGTAAAAAAAATTACGGCAATTTTTATTCAATTCTAAGGCATATCATTTGTACACTTACTGATATATGAGTAATTTACGGTAGACCCGATGTGGTTCCGAAAGATATTGATATTATTACCTATGGCCCCATATATGGAGAAGGTGACCCTTGACTGGTATACCGGCAACTATTTCGTTGTTTGGCAAACATTCACTTCCCAATATATTCTTTATATTCTTGGCGTATACCGCTACCAAATTTCAACCTCTAGCTCAAGTCAAATTGAAAACTCAATACCAGCATTACCATCTCACAGACAGGCTCCATCAAACATATATCCACAAATTTCAAGCCATCTTATTTCTGTTTTGAATATTTCATATAAGGTTCTGGTAAAGCCACTGCAATCAAAATATCTCCACTCACAGTACAACACATACTCATAGATTGCTGGCAGAAAATTCCACAGGTTGGTACTGGCTTAAAATGAATCTACTGAACTCATTTTCCCAAAACACCAAAACGGTTACTATTACCTAACTATTAGCTGTTATTGATCCTATCGTAAACTACCTGTTTTTAATATCTCTAAATTGTTATGTATTTCCTCTATGTTGGTGATTTTCTCTAATATTTATTTATTTTTTATTCAGAATTATTAAGTATAAGACCAAATGAAGGACTGTTCGAAATAGTATTTTTGTCGCTATTCATAGAACTCATTCCGCACTTTTCGATTTCCAAGCTTTCGAAGGCATCCAGAAACTTGTTGTCATGTACCAGTCTCAATAATTTTAAACAATTCTTACTTATTCTCACTAGATTTCTCCGGTGTATGAAACTGAACATGCCAAACATGTTCCTTGTGGCGAGCTAATATAGTTCGTTTGGTTTGAACAACATATTTCTTATCACAATCCTCGCAGCTTATTTCGTATATCCCAGACTTTTATTTTTCCAATGTCTTGTCTTTCGGGCTGCCCAACACTTGTTGAAGTGTACGTGCAGTTTTGAAAGACACTTTTTTTGAATGTTTGGACCAACCAATTGGTGTATTTGGATTCATATGGAAGCACTGTGAATTTTGAATCTTTCTCTTTTCAAAAAGTCGAGGCATTACGAAGATATTCCCTACATTTTTGTTTTCTAATTAATTTTTCCACTATATTTGATGTATACCCGTTGCTTTCAGCCACCTTAGCTTGCTCCCTTACAACTTTTCTCTCAATCTCATGCCTTTCTTTGCACAATGAAAATGTGGGCAGTCTATGGACAAGAAATTGTAGTCCCGTCATTTTTTGTTGTGGGCAATAATGGGAGCTGTCCTGGGGACGCTAACTTGGTTAGCGAAATACGCGTCGAGAGACCGTAATTTTCGTTCTATTGTTGAGAAAGTGTTTTTAATAAATGAAGAATAGTCTTCTATTTTTGAAAGGAATTATATCGAAAAATCTGATTGCATTAAAGTATAATATAAGAATTTATCCTACTAAGCGAAATTTAGTTGACTCATATGTATGATTGAAAATGTATCAATTCTTGTATCTATGGTCTTATCTGTCGCGATACGTCAATTTTAATGGAAGAATAAGGACATCTTCGAAATAATTAACATAATTTTTCAAATTGAATCTATTTAATTTTCACCTAAGTATTTCTTTTTATTGGAGTGTAACCCTAAGCATGTAAGGTTAGGTTAGGTCCAAAGTGAGTGGGTCCATTTGACCCTCCATCGCAACCCGCAAGGGTTTATTGTGGCTCACACCTATTCATAATTCTTAACGAAGCCGATTAGTTTGCATGGTTAGTGGTCTTTCAGGTCAGATGATAAGAGTACGGCTCTGCTGAATTCTAAAAACCTGATTCGGTCCCCAGCGAAGCAGGCAAAAAGTATGTGCACACTGTCTTCCGACAGTCCGAATCTCTGCATATAATGATTCAAATGACAGTGACCTGTAAGAAGACCTGTTAGACATCGTAGTTCATCCCTACTATAGCCCAATAACTGTTTGGTATCAAGCTTCGAAGGGTGAATAAAAGCCTTGAAGTGAGCCAATCCTGGAAGATTCTGCCAGGAGTCCATAAATCTTCTTGCCATCTAGATGTTCAATCTTTTTTTGGCAAAGCCTTAAGCGATTCCAATGACAGGTTCTGGTCTAATAAAGCATGAAATCTCATTAATAGAATGAGAAATGGATTCTTAATTTTTTTTTGTGATGATTCATTGAATGTATTGTATTTTATTTAGATTCAAATTATTGCTTTTCTACAAAAAATTCGGATGGAAATACGAAAATCACACTCATATTGAAATTAAGTAAGGGCTCGATAAGTAGAATTTGGAACTTCCGGCGTGAAATGAATGTATTGAAAGTACTTTTTCTCCACCAGAACAAAAATGCTGACTCTCGACGAGCGTTTCGCTAACCGAGTTAGCATAATCAAGAGATGACTAAAAGTACCTTTCAAAAGCTATGGTAATGTTCATTATATGCATATGGACAAATCATTACCGTTATAATCATCAAATTTATTCCTAGTATTTTGTTACTACCTGACTGGGACCTAAAACTTTCAAATTGTGATAAGAATGTTAAACAACATGCATCATTTTTTAACATATATTACATTAGATTTTGTTTTTGTTTCAGGTCCCGAAACCACGTCGTCCATTCAAGTCTTCTGCAATCCAACGAAGTCCTTAAAAAAAATAACATACCTTTAATCATAGTTATATATACAAAAGAGCATTATAATATTATCCAATTGTTGAATCTCTGTTAATTGTTATTCGAGCATTTGAAACTTTAATTGTCACTTCATAACCCGCCTGTTTACCTAACAGCAAAAGATGAATGAAATCTAAGCGCCGCTCAACTGTTTTGTTAGTACAAGAGAAAGAATAAAGAATGCTCTTAGACGACCTTACTTATGCGGAGGGGTCAATGCCCAATGCACACTAGATTCTGATGTCTAAGTCTGCTTCATGTCAGTATGGTCCCAGTTGCCTTAGAGATTTCTTCTTCTTCGTGACGTAGATAACGCGCGCGATTGTTTTTTTTTGTGTTCGCGAAAATCGCGGTTGTGATCTGAACTTCCATCCAGGAGTAGCGTTAGTTTTGTTGTTGTGTCTTTGTTTTTCGTTCGTTTGGCGTGACATGGAAGTGACTTAGAGGAGCGAAAATAATGGGGGAGGAGAATCAGAGGAGGCTGAGCCAGGTTTTCGATCCGCTCGCGAGGCTCGGGGAGTTGACGAGGTGAGTGAAGTTGATGTATTTAACGATGAAAGAGAGATAGTGAAGAGTTTGAAAAAATGGATATTTTAATTATCGTTTAGAAAATATTGGGAAGGTAATAGTTTGAATAGTATTGTGATCCAACTGTTGGAATTACAAGGCTTGATGGGGACTATTTTTATTTGTTTGACCCTTCTGCACCCGGTTGAAACAAAGTAACGTGCACACTTGGGTGGTGTCTGTCAGACACGTTTTTCAGTTAACAGAAATAATGAGATGAATAAAATTAATGTGGGAATCTTCCAAAGAAAGGAAGTAATAAATTTGAAAATAAGTAACTCTATACATAGATGTGTAGATCATGCAAAGAAACAACTTTCAGACACAAACTGGAAGAAACTCCTCCTGAAACAGCTACTTTCGTATAAACATTGAATTACATGAAAAAAAATTCTTTCGTGATATATTGATTAACAAAATCAAAGGTGTATCTAATTTAAACAAAAAAATAACAAATGTTTTTTCAAATTGCTGCATAACTTAAAAAAAAACTATAAATTAATGAATCAGAAATAAAGTTAATTATCGTAAGTTTCATGCTCGCAATCTCTACAAAATGGATTAACGCGTTCTAAACAAAGCCATTTTGAACACCGTTTGCAAAAATATCTCATTTTTCGATTTCTGCAATAAGAACAACGTCCATGTTCATTTTCGCGCCTTGCTTGCGGAGGCAGAGTGGTTGTACCAGAGAATTTCAGCACCAAACCCCTGATATCTTTTCTTATATGTGGATCAGTTGCTCGATTGGTTAGATTTTTCATAACTTAGTCATAAGCAAGTTTTTTCAGAAATAACTTTCGGTGTTTGTAATTGTTATCTCGGGAAGGGGCATTGCTTTGACTTATTATAAAAGCATTCACTCCTGCGATCGACCACCTGCAAGTGGTTCTACTTACATAATATGTAACCATCTTTTAGTCAGCCGAATCAACACCGCATATAGTTATGTTTCAACAGGTAATCATATCTGGCTTACACTGGTCTCCTGTCGCTGCATCAATTTTGTCATCACAGAGCATGGAAGGAATTGAATGGACATATTTTTTTTTGGCACATATGATATCAAAGTGACATTTCTACGAATGTACTTGCCTCGATGTGATCTTTCAGTTCCTTGCGAATAGTTCCTAGAATTTTTGGGAAAGAAAGTTTTTGGCTTTCTACTACTCCATCTCGATACAAAAAAATGAGAGAATTTTCCAAAGAAAGAAAGGAAGGAAGTAATCAATTTGAAAATAAGTAACTCTATACATGTACGTGTAGATCATGCAAAGAAGTAACTTTCAGACACAAACTGAAAGAGAGTCCTCGTGAAACAGCTACTTTCATATAAATATTGAATTACACGAAAGAAAAATTTTTTCGAAACAAATACTTCTATATGAAAATTGAATTATACAGAAGATACTTTTCTTTACTCAGTTTGTATTGCCTCAAGGCTCTTCAGTACCAAATTGGATAACATTATAGAAAATACACACAATTCTTTCATTAATTACGATTTTTCATGTCACGGAATAAGCTTGATCTGCTCATGACATCGTAATGACATTCATTCACCTATTTGATTTAATCCCAGCCAAGAGGAATCTCATTTGAATTGAAGGGGTTATATTTTTAGGAGTGATTAATTTTTGAGAAAGAAAGTTTTTGACTTTTACTACTCCATCTCGATACAAAAAAATGGGAGAAACATCTTGAAATATTCTTTCCCAAAAATTAATCACTCATAAAAATATAACCCCTTCAATTCCTAGGATTGTTATTCTATGATTGTGAACCATTTGTTCATTGTAACATTTCTTCCAGAATCATATATAGGAGCACACAATCTTTTCAAATCATTATCCGTTTTGTGTGAAATATTGTATGGACCATTGGGTTGAAGTCCAACATAAACTTCTAAATTGACAACAATTGTAAGTTCTTGCAGTCCATAACGTACTGTCACATAGAAACTTGGAGTGTAGCAGTCCTTACAGTTTTGTACGAAGTGTTCAAAAAAAGTTCTAATGGGGCACAATTTGTCAGTCTTCTTTCTTTTACTTCTCGTATAAAATCAAATCGTATGAAAGACAATAAGAATGTAAATTTGCGGTGGGCTATTGTTGCATGAATAATTTCGAGGCCTGAACCATCTTCAGCCCAAAAGTCTTTGGTATTTTCTCTCCCACTTTTATAAAGCCCCATCTAGTAGAGAATTCCATTGACAGCCTTCAGTTCTACAATATATGTAGGTAGCATATCCAGTGGATCTTTGTACTTTGGTGCAACTGTTGCTATATACAGTGCATTTCATTTGAAACGAGCCACCCTGAATAACTTTTGGTACAATGATTTTCAGGAAAAATAAAATACGTTAACAATAGTATACAGGGCAACACATTTTGACTATTCATATTTGATGTTACTTCCCCTATCGCACCCCCATAGCATGTCACCATTTTTTTAAAATTGATCACCCTATATAGTTTCGCATTATCAGATGCTCCATGATGAGCATATTTCAAAAAAGTATCAAACATATGGTCTGAAGCATATGGTTCGGGAGCTACAAACTATTTGGGTTGAAAACGAGCCACCCTGAATAACTTTTGAAACGATGATTTGCAGGTAAAATAAAAGAACAGGCCACATTTTGAAATATTCGTTCTAGAGACAAATATGGAATCAATAAATCAGAAAAAGAGATGTTTTATTAATTCTTGAATCAAAATCTGATTAGGTACTGGACAATGAGAAGAAAAAAAATTCTATAGCAAATGTTCAAAAACATTTCCACCAACTTCCATACAATGGTACAAACAAGCTTCCATTGCTGCCCTCACATGGTTGAGAATCTCGGGAGTTACTTCTCTGTAAAGTCTCATGATATTCTCTCTCAAATCTTCTAATGTTGTTGATTCTATCTCATACATTTTAGACTTCAAATGACCCCATAGAAAGAAATCTACAGAGGGTGAGGTCCAGAGACTTTGGTGGTTATTCAGTAGGACCTCTTCTGCCAATCCAATGGAAAATTGTCGCACTGGATCTGCATAATGAGGAGGTGCACCTTCCTACTGAAAAAATATTTTGTTTTCGAATCAATTGATATCCTTCTCAATTGCCTTATTGATGCATGGTATCATTCGATTCTCCAACATATCCAAATATTTATCACTAGTCAAATTATCATCGATAAAAAAGGTCATATGATGTGGTCACCTGAAATTCCTGCCCAAACATTCAGTTTTTGAGGTCGTTGGGTATGAACTTGACGGTATAAACGAAGATTCGTATCACTCCAATATCGACAAACGTATTAAACTAAACATTTTATATATTTGCAAAGACCCATCTTCTTGCAAATGATTTATCTCTATTTGAAGTGATGCCTTTGGCAGTCACATCTGTTTGCTGCTACATCAACTTCAAATGACGATTTACGAAACGGAGATAGCTTGCCCATCTCTGCAAAGTTTTGGAATCTTATAGCAAATTCGTTCCTAAGATCGGCCAGAAATTTTACAAACACTGCAATGTCTTCTTCAGAGTTCTTTTTATATTAAAGAATTGTCGGAATATGAATAAATTCTTGTCTTGCAATATCTTTTTCGAAGATATCCAGCATGCAACGAAAAGCAGACTCTTTTTGTATCAGATCACATATTAATTTTCCATTTTCTTGTGATTCTGTGTTGAGCGCATTTGAGTATTTCAAAATATCTTCAAAAAAAGCCGCGACCAGCATATTACGCTTGTTTGTGCTTTCTGGCTCCCTCCGTATCTAACTTTTGCGAGAAGGAGATTACTTTTTCTTTTATCAGCCAGCAACTTTCAATAATTTGACCTTTACTTAGCCAACGAACATTTTGTCGTGTTGCAGTTAAGGCAGCTTAAAACAATATTGTTCAGTCCATTCTGCCAGAAACCTCCTATTTTCACTGCCCAATCCACGCTTTTTAGAATCCATATTAGCATAGGTACCTACGAAAATATTATGAAAACGCGAAAAATCACAAAACAAATGAATGGTTGCTCCGCGGTTTGTGCTACGACTGACAGTCTGCTTCCCCCGACGACACGCCCGCACCCCAGATTTTGATACTCGGTCGCGCTTGTTTCAACAAAACTAAATAGTGGCAAGAGCGCACAAACACACATACACACAGGGTAGATCGGAAACTAATAAATCGATATCAGTTGTAGGTACTTGTAAAACAGGTTGACAAGGCAACTTGAAATAAAATAAGTACATAGTTGAATTTTCTGTGGCTTAAAAATATTACTTCAATTAATAAAGGTATAGTAAACCCTACAACCGCAGTACTAATAGCTTCATCGTTGACAACTTCTGAACGGTTATGCTTTTTATTGTTATCAAATCCAGTTTCCATGAATTTGTTCAATAATTCTGAAACGTATTTGTGTCGTACATTTCTTCCTGGATGATTATCATTGAACATACGGGCAGCAGCTCTAGCACTATTTTCATTTTGGTAGTACAAACTCATTATTTCAATCCGTTCTCGAAGCGTATAAATCATTGCTTTTCAAGAATTCACAAAAACAGAAACACCAATTTTACCTTCATCTGGTAGGTAATCGTTATTGTAGAATGAGACAAATACAAAATGAAGAGAATATCGAATTAAAACTTAACTAGGCAAAATAAGACTATTTGAAGTATACTTCACTAAAAAACTCCTATGAAACCTAGGTAACAGATTGTACAGAAGTTCATTCAGGATGGCCCGTTTTCAACTCAAATAATTTTTAGCTTCCAAACTATGAGCTTCAGACCATAATGTTCATCATGGAATATCTGATTACTGACTTTATAAAAGTCCATTTTGGGATGTTTATTCCAGAAGGATGATAAAATTCCTCCAAAGTGTAGTTCGATGTGTGTTGAGTAGAACCTCGAGAGCAATTATTTCCAAAGAAACTCGTCGACAACATAAACCCAATGAATA